GTAGGTTCGATGTTGTCATTTCGCTTTCCCAAATTCTACAATGGCTTCTCTCCTCCTTCAGAAAAAATATCCAAAATTCCCACCACAGTTCACAAGGTTCTTCAGAATCCTGCCTCCAGCTACCTCTGCAACCTCATTCCCTACTGTTATTTTTTTTTCCTCTGTTCCTTTCTTAGGCTAAGTTCCTTCTCACCTTGAAACTTTTAAGTACCCCTTACTTAGCCTGAGTAGTGAAGCAGTAGCTGGCTGACGAGGAGCTACCTCCTTAGAGAGATCTTCAAAGCCTTCCCAATCTAAAGGAACTTCTCAGTCATGTTCCATCTTATCACCCTACTTAATCCTGCCAACCAAACTTCTTACAGTTCAATTATGGTTTTATATGTAACAGTATTGTATATCCGTAAAGCTTTTTCATTAATTCATTCAAGAAAATAGTTGTTGGCAGAAACCGGTTTGGCTCAGTGGGAGAGCGTTGGTCCGCGGACTGAAAGGTCCCAGGTTCGATTCCGGTCGAGGGCATGTACATCGGTTGCGGGCACATCCCGGGTAGGGGGTGTGCAGGAGGCAGCTGGTTGATGTTTTTCTCTCTTATCGACGTTTCTAGCTCTCTATCTCTCTCCCTTCCTCTCTATAAGAAATCAATAAAATATATATATATTTTTTAAAAAAGAAAATAGTTGTTGAACACCTACCACATAAACATATGTTAGGTATTCATTTATTCAACACGTAGCGAATTCTTACCGAGCACTTCCTGTGTGCCCTGCCCTGTTCCAGAAACCTGCAAGATAGTGATCAACAAGGCAGGTAAACAGGTTTCTGTTCTCCCAGAGCCGATGATTTTAGTGAGAGAACAAAGAACAGGAGTAAGGGAGCAGACTAGAATGAGTAATAATTTTGAGTAAATTCGGAAATCAAGTCATAGTAGACTACCTATCAACTCTGATAGGATGGGGAAGACGCCCATTATTTCAATGAATCAAAATGAAATTGAAAAGATACTATTGTTTTGTTTTGTTTTTTAATTTAAATACCTGTATCTTCCCACCGTCAGTGTGTTGGAAGCCAAGAATTCCAATCATAACTATCAGATTTCCTACATAAACTACTGTTTTCACTTTACAATCTGTATATTACTAAAGTCACTAAGTTGTTAAGATAAAATTCCCATAAAGTTAATAAATGATTAACGAATGAAGATGAAGGAAAAGAAACTAAGGACTAATATTGCAATAAGTGTGCATTTATATCAAGGTTCTTAAACCTTGATACAGTTCATATTAAATATTAAACTAAGCAATTAATAGCATATTGTTTTCTGAACAAACTTTAGTGGGAAATTTTTACGACCTTTAAGCATTTTTAAATTTCACCACTTCGAAAACCTGTGGAAGGCTGGGAAAACAACTTGTGCAAAAAATGTAAACTTCTAGTAAAAATATGAAGGAAGTCTGTTTTTGTTCAACATATAAGCCACTATATTTTACACCAAAAATACAGCTTGTCCTGATTATACAGGTTGTGTTCATTTGGTTAAATTTTGAGAAATGTTTACGACATGGATTTTTTTAAAGAACAAAATCTCAGAATCATTATACTTATACCACTGAACCAAGAGGCCAGAGAATGGAGATGGGCTCCTACAGAAAAAATAAAGGCCCAAGCCCTAACTGGTTTGGTTCAGTGGATTGAGTATCAGCCTGCAGACTGAAGGGTCCCAGGTTCGATTCAGGTCAAGAGCATGTACCTTGGTTGTAGGCATATCCCCAATGGGTGTGTGTGTGTGTGTGTGTGTGTGTGTGTGTGTGTAGCAGGAGGCAGCTGATCAATGCTTCTTTCTCATCGATCTAACTTATCTCTCTCCCTTCCTCTCTGTAAAAAATCAATAAAATATATATTTAAAAAATAAATAAAGGCCCAAATAATTTTGTCCTTAGTTTGATCACTAATTATGAAACCTTATTCAATTCTCTGGGCCTTGGTTTCTGTATCTGAAAAAGGATATAATGGTTGCCTAATAAAACTCACAGAATTTAACATGGGTGAGAGTAAACTGATATATTTTTATGTTAACCTGTTCTGAAAATTTAAGATTATATACATGAAAATGGGACACACGCTAAACAGTACATGAGAGATATAGCCAGTTCTTGAAGAAGTGCACATTCCTGAATTTTCTCCTCTCAAAACCACGAAGACAGGCTGCATCAATTCTAAATACCACCTGTCATCTGTCAGTCACTCTTCTGATTGGCTGCACCCTGGCTCACTCAGAGAAAATTGAAAACCACTGGGTCCCTCTCCACCTCCAATCCTTCCATTCTCAGGAAGATGCCCCGTCTTCCTTACAGCCCAGGCTTGCTGACCTTGGTGTACCCTAGCACCGTGATTGGCAAACTGTGGCTCGCGAGCCACATGCGGCTCTTTGGCCCCTGGAGTGTGGCTCTTCCACAAAATACCATGGCCTTGACGAGTCTATTTTGAAAAAGTGGCGTTAGAAGAAGTTTAAGTTTAAAAAATTTGGCTCTCCAAAGAAATTTCAATCGTTGTACTGTTGATATTTGGCTCTGTTGACTAATGAGTTTGCCGACCACTGACCTAGCACACACAGTCTTCGTGCGGTTGGTGCTTCACAGGTGATGGGTGTATTTCTTACATTCTATTTTCATTATGTCATACTCTCATGTTAATAAAGCTCTACTGGAGTCAAATTAAAATCTGTAAGGTAGGTGGCATAATGTAAAAATCCTGAATTTAAAAAAGTAACCTTCATATGTGTTTAAATTTATCTTTTTGAAATAATTTTGGATTAGAAGGCCTTTTAAAGGATCTATAGTGTTAAAAGTAAAAACTGCACTACGGGGTTAAATCCTTCTGCATGGAAGTACAACCGGAATGCTCTGTCCTCAGGTCTCATGATGGACTCCTTGTCATTTGGGTCTCAGTGCCTATGTGTCTCTCTCTAAGGAGTCTTTCCTGGATACCCAGTCTGAACATCCCAAGTTTCTCATTACATTATCCATGACACTCGTCACTCTTGTCCGTTTTTAGACGTTTGCTTCTTGCATAGTATCTGTCAAAAAACAGCTGCATAGGAGCAGAGACCTGGCCCTATAGTCTAGACCAGACTATCTTGCAAGTTCCTCTAACCCTAGGCAGATGCCTGGGACATGGGATTTGTTCAAATTGAGACTGGACTCCATGTCAGGCTTCCCATGTAATCCCACCTGCTTCTAGTCCTCACAACTGTAAACTGTAGGAATTACTCCCAATTTTTAGACGTAGAAAGACTCAAGGAGGCTTAACTCATATCCGAGAAGACCGTCTGATGCTCAAGTCTAACCCCTTCCCACCACTACTGACAAGGTGGATTCCCAATCTTTCCCACCCATCTCCCACACACCGATTGCCACAATTAACCACAGGTATTAAGCACTGCGCTGAAATATTTCTTCTTGGAGCTAAAGGTATTAGCAAAGCAGGAAAAATATCAGGAAGTTCAAACAAGCTGGTGTAGCCCACACACCCACCTTACGGATCCTTGGGTAAACAAGGGTGGAAGGGTTAGTAGCAATCTAACTTACTGGTTTAGGAATTATTTTGACAAAGGTCATACAACCTGACTATCTAGGAAATCTACATCCAGCTGCCATGGTAACTAACCGCTTCCAAAATCTCAGCTTTTCAAGCTTTTGTGAACGGTTCAGGCATTTCTCCTCTTTCTTGGTGATCCTTTTCTCTCTCTCACTATGGTTTTGACTTTTGACTAGTTCACGGCCTTAAAAACAAACAAACAAGCAAACAACAACAAACCTCTCCAAAATCAAGGAATAAGCTGGAGGGACCAAGAGGAGAGAAAACCGGGGAAGTAGCCAGCAGCAACTTTGGGAAAGGGATATATATATATATATATATATATATATATATATATAGTTCTTATCAGGCCCTTCACCGTCCTCTCTATTTATATTCTCATCAGATAAATGAAAAACTGCCTTGATGTGAAAACCCTCACAATTTCCAGCTGATACACTCTCTTCCTGTCGCACCCACACCCCACCACCCCCAATTTCAGTCCGGGTTCGGGGCTGTGACCCCCTGGGTGACTGCAGAAAGCCTGCGGGTGTTGTACAGACCTGGGGGTCAGGTAGGGGCTGAAGGCCCAGCCCTGCAAGCAGTGAGACCTACTCATGACTGCACCCCGTTCTCTTCTCCTCTCCCGTTGGGCTCTCCCTTAACGCAGCCAAGAAGTGACTGTACAAGGAGTCAGAGGAGAGACCACAGCGGGACGGGGGACTTCCCATCTCCGAGTCAGAGAGATGTGGGCGCCCCAGGCGGGTCCAGGGCGCCTGCCCAGGGTGCACGCAACACACAGGACTCGGGTCCCGGGCACGCCCTCTGGCCACTCACTGGACGATGTCGACAGAGGAGGACTCTAGAAGTGAGTCAGAGCCTTTCTCAGGCGAGACTTGGGAGTCTTCCCACAGCATCCTGACTGTCTCCGAAACAAGACTCAGCACAGTGTAATGCACAGGGACCTCCCTTCCCGACTGGGATGGGAGCCACGTCGGTCTTGTGTTCCACCGACTCGGGCATTCCCACCGAGGCTGGCACCTGGCTGGCACCTGGCTGGATACCGGCTGAGCGGCTGGATGAATGCACGCACGGTGAATGCATTAAGAGTAGGGGTATCCCTGTGGACTGAAAGGTCCCAGGTTCGATTCCGGTCAAGGGCAGCAGGTACCTTGGTTGCGGGCATATCCCCAGTAGGGAGTGTGCAAAAGGCAGCTGATCGATGATTCTCTCTCATCGATGTTTTTAACTCTCTATTCCTCTCCCTTTCTCTCTGTGAAAAATCAATAATATATATATATATTTTTTAAAAAGAGTAGAGGTATCCCGTCCGCGCCTCTGCAAGTACCCGGGACAGCCCATGGGATCTCATCGCCACCCCGAGGCCACCCCCCCCCCTCCCCGCTCGGCTCGGAGCAGACACTCACCTTCTCGGCAGGGCTCTCCGGGCGGCAGCCTCACCTCTCCCCCCATGGCCCCCAGGCAGGGCTCTCGGGGCGCGGGCGCTCGCTCCTCCGCCACCGCCTGGACCCGGCTCCCTGCGCGGGCGGGCTCAGCCCCTGGCGCTCTGGCCCCGCCCCCTGGAGGCCTCAACCAATGGGGGAGACTGGGCGGGACCTGTGGGTTAGCCACGCCCTCTACCTGCCGGGTTGGAGGGTGGTTCTCGGTGGGAAGGCGGCGGCCGCTGCCGCGTCTCCCAGTCGCTGGCGGGACGCGCCCCTTTGCCCGGCGGGAGCTGGGCGGTGAGAGGCATAGGCACACCCCGCGGAGCCCAGGCTTCTCTCCGAGCGTGGAGGCCGCCGGGCCAAGCCTCGGGGAGTCAGTGGAGTGCATGCACAGGCTGTGCAGGGGGGCCCCTTCTGGCTCGCCCCGAGGGGAAGTGCCTCCTGCTGCGGGGTTCTGAGCGCTCCCCGGCCCACGTTAGCGGCTCTGCAGGGCAGTGGCTGGCCGCTGGGATTGTGCGCTGATGGCCGTGCCAAAGTTTAACCTGGGCGCTTTGGTTTAACCTGGTACACCGCGCCTTTCCGTGCCGGTATCAGCCTCTCCCGCGCTCCTTCGACTTCGAACTTGGTCATCGAGTTATTTGCAATAAACCCCAAAGGAAAGGCAGCACTTCAAACAGAAACGATTGGTTCCTACAAAATAGTAATAGTTCACATTTGTGATATTAAATTTTTTTATTTTTATTTTACTGGCTGTTTTACAGAGAGGGAGAGGGACAGAGAGCCAGAAACATTGACCAGCTGTCTCCTGCACCTCCCCTCCCCCAACCAGGGATGTGCCCCAGCTGCCTCCTGCACACCCCCCCACCAGGGATGTGCCTGCAACCAAGGTACATGCCCTTGACAGGAATAGAACCTGGGACCACCCCCCCCCCCTCCCGCAGTCCACAGGCCAACACTATCCACTGAGCCAAACCGGTTTCAGCCATTTGTGATATTCATACTTTACCAGGCATGTGCAGGCACTTTACATGCATGAACTCAGTATATGTCACAACATCGTCTATTAACCCCTGGTTTACAGATGAGGGATCAGCACTAAAAAGGTTGGATCAACCAAGTAGGCAGTGGAAGGCTTCCAACAGGTCATGATGCAACAGGAGAGGATGACCATTCCTGAGGAAGCCCTCATCACAGGCCTTTGTGCTCCGGAATTCACCGCAGGAAAGGCTGCTCGCCTTGCCTTTGCCCTAGGTTGTCATTAACTTTATTACCCAAGAGTTTCAGAGCAGAGACCTCAGTCTTGCTTTTCTTGTTCTTCGGCTGATGAGAGAAGAGTTAACAACCGGTCACCATGCGGCACACAGGTTCACAGGTGGATGGCTTGGTGGAGAAGGCATAGCATGGGGAGGGGTACGGTGAACACTGGATGGGAGGGAGATTTATGGCAAACTTGGATAACAAGCCTTAAAACTTAGGTTTCTAGTTAAAGGTTTTAACATCAGATTTGAAGTTTTTACCTTCATCGAAGATTGGTGAGAACAGTGAACGTGTTGTGAAGTATTATTTATTGTATAGTTAACCAACACAAGTAGCATTTATGTGGGTAAGCACTATTCTAAACACTTTAAAAACATTTGCTTTTAAAATCATCACAATAGATACTTTATTAATCCCCCTTCTTCCTTACAGAGAGGAAAGGGAGGCAGACAGAGAGTGAGTCACTTGCCTATGGACAGATAGCTAATAGGTGGTGGAGCTGGGATGCTAACTAAAGAAATCTGGCTTCAGAGTCTGTGCTTTTACCCCATTTGCTAAATGGATATATATATTTTTAATTGGATATTTAAAAAACTAAGAATTACTGTTGCGGTGTTTTTTTTTAAATTGAATTCTGGCTTCTTAGTAGAGTCTATTTTATGTAGGAGGCACTTTGTGGTAATTCTTATTTGTTGGTTCTAGAAATAAAAAAACAAAAACACAGAAACATAAAAGTAAGCTTATCTAAGATCACTGTTTTCCCAGTTTAAATGTTGCTTATCAGAACTTTACAATATATTTCCCTTCACTACCTATTTTAGATGACGTTTGGATATTATGCGATTATAGCACCATAGACTGTCATTAATTTTGGAGACTTTTATTCCTGTTAGAAAGTATGGTGTTTATTTAACTAAAAGAAGAACATTAAAAAATCTACAAGGAGCCCCCTGCACAGTTCTGGGAAGATTCCTTTCTGACACATGAGGCCCTCTAAAACGTCCGCTCCTGTCTTACTGGTCTTGCAGACTCAGCAGTGATGGTCTAAATTAGGGGTGTCGAACTCAATCAGAGAAGGGGCCAAAATCTAAAATCCAGCCTAAATCGCGGGCCGAATGGTTTACTGAACAGTCATAAACTGTCAGTGTGATGGAAACGCAGCGGAGTGCAGTGATGACAGCGAGGTGTGGGCCACATTGCAAGGCCTGGCGGGACGGATTTGGCCCGCGGGGCTTGTGTTTGACACATGTGGTCTAAATAATGAACAAACGCTGAGGCCTCAAGGAACCAGGCCACAGGTTCTTTGAACAGTGCAGGGGTCTGATAGGGTCCCCGTGGGATAAGGCTTTAACCCTTCAGTTGCTAGATTGTGGAGAGGTCTAAGGTTCCTGGGGCAGGGATGGAGTGAGTATGCAGGAGGGGTGTTTTTGGAGAGGGGACTTGAGACTATTTGTAGAAGTTACAGTCCTGCCTAGCATTATGCCAAGTCTACTCCTGGGAATTCATGATGCCTTACTTTTTTCTCAGTCAGTCTAGCTAGGAGGTTATCAATTTTTCCAAAAACCATCTCATACCTTTGTTGATTTTCTTTATTGATTTTAAAAAGTTCATTGACTTCTGCTACTATTTTCAAAAATATATATTTTATTGATTTTTTACAGAGAGGAAGAGAGAGGGATAGAGAGTTAGAAACATCAATGAGAGAGAATCATCGATCAGCTACCTCCTGCACACCCCCTATTGGGGATGTGCTCGCAACCAAAGTATGTGCCCTTGACCGGAATTGAACCTGGGACCTTTCAGTCTGCAGGCCAATGCTCTATCCACTGAGCCAAACCGGTTTTGGCTTTTTTTTTTTTTTTTTTTTAAATCATTTTCTTTCTCTTGTATTGAGTTTAATTTGCTTTTCTTCTTCTGGCTTCTATGGTAGAAACATAGATCATTGCCCTCAAATACTGCTCTAGCTATATCCCATAAAAATTGAGATGTGTTTTTATTATTTAAGTAGAGGCCCAATACACGACATTAATGTACTAGGGAGGCATGGGTTCCCTCAGCCTGGCCTGCACCCTTTAGCAGTCTGGGAACCTTTGGGGGATGTCCGACTGACAGCTTAGGTTCTCTGATTGACAGCTTAGGCTCTCTCTCCAGGGGGCCTAAGCCGCAGGCCGACATCCTTAGCACTTCCTTGGAGACGGGAGAGGCTCCTGCCACTGATGCTATACTCGCCAGGAGTCAGCCGGGTTTGTAGCTTAACAGCACTGCCCCTATGGGAGCTCACTGACCACCAGGGGGCAGCTCCTGTGTTGAGTGTCTGCCTCCTGGTGGTCAGTGTGCATCGTAGTGACTGGTCTGTCCACCATTCAATCAATTTACCCTTTTATTATATAGGATTAGTTAAAATATTTTGAAAATTTCTCTATGATTTATTGATATTTTTTGATGCATGGATTATTTAGGAATGTGCTGTTGATTTCTAAATATTTGGGATTTTTTTCCTCAGATATTCTTCTGTTATTGATTTCTAACTTAATTCTATTTTGGACATAGAACATATTCTGTATTATAATAATAGGCCTCTGACATTTATTGAGATCTGGTTTATGGTCTATTTTAGTGAATGTGCCAAGTGAAATGGAAAAGAATGTGTATTCTGCAGTTTTGGGGTATAATGTTTTATAAATGCCAATTAGGTTAAATTGCTTGCTCAAAGTCTAGTTTTTTACTGATTTTTAAATTTGTTCTGTCAATTACTGAGAAAGAAGTGTTGAAATCACCCATAATTTTGAGTTTGCCTATAAATTCAGTGCTGTTAGTTTTTGCTTCACGGATTTTTGAAGCTTTGTCATTAGTGAATATATACACAGGGCTGTTAGGTCTTCTGAGTCTATTGACACTTTTAGCATTATTAAATACTAGTGGCCCAGTGCACAAAATTCATGCACATTAAAAGGGAAATAATTAGAGGAAATATTTTGATATTGCTATTTACCCTTTCTCTGTAATTGAAGTGCCCCATCAATCCACACTAGGTGGGGAATGCAGCCTCATATCCCCTGGTTTCACCGCACATGCAGCCCCACCTACCCTCACCTGCAACGCTCGCAGCCTCCTGGTAATCGGTCGTTACGATGTGAGGGCATCATGACCATTTGCATATTAGCCTTTTATTATTATAGATTCCTGCTTATTTATAGTAATACCTTTTTAAAAAATATTTTTTTATTTATTTTTTTACAGAGAGGGAGAGAGATAGAGAGCTAGAAAGGTCGATGAGAGAGAAACATTGATCAGCTGCCTCTTGCACACCCCCCACCAGGAATATGCCCGCAACCAAGGTACATGCCCTTGACCGGAATCAAACCTGGGACCTTTCAGTCCACAGGCTGTTGCTCTATCCACTGAGCCAAACCGGTTTCGGCATAGTAATACCTTTTTTATTTGATGGTACCTTGAAATTTATATAGCAAAACCAGATGTTTTATTATGAGTTTACATGTTATACCTTTTTTTATCTCTTACCTTCTAATTTATCTTTATATTTAAATCTTATTTCTTATAAATAAAATATATTATAGATGCATTTTATTTTTTTTAATATTTACCTGAGGATATATTTATTGATTTTGAGAAAGAGAAAGAAGACATTGATAGATTGGCTCCTTCATGCACCCTAACTAGGGATCAAATCTGCAACCTAGGTATGTGCCCTGACCAGGAATCAAACCTGCAACCTTTTGGTGTATGGGACAGTGCTCCAACTAACTGAGCCACCTGCACTTTCCTTTTTAAAACAAACTGTCAATCTCTGATTTTATTGGTCTATTTAGTGTGTGTACATGTTTTGTAA